CAGCCTGGCTCCACCCCTCCCTGACCACATTTAAGGGCTGGAAAGCACTGTGGCAGCATCTCTTCTTGGAGATTGTCTCTCTTTTGGGGGTGGGGGATCCTTTCTTTATGTTAGGGCTGTGAGCTTCTCCCTGTTTGTTTGTTTGAGGAGGGGGAGATCCTCACCGTGTAGAAGGGCTTGGAGGGGTGAAAACAACCTGGAGGCTGTTTTCTTTGGAGTATGAGTAAGTATTGGTCCTTGGAATGGGGTGAGGGATTACTTCCTTATCTCAGGGCAGCAATGCACTTTTTTGGGGGGGGAATATCCTGTCCACATTGAAGGGCTGGCAGTTGTAAGGGCAACATCTATACTTGAAGACTGCTTCCTTAGGAGTGTGGGATGAGCTCTAGTCCTTGGAATTGGGGTGAGTGATATTTTTTTTTTTTTTTTAAATTTATTTTGGGGCTGTGATCTCTCCTTTTTGGGGGGGATTCTGACCTCATTTAAGGTTTTAAGGTCTAGCAGCCATAAGGGCAGTATTTCTTCTCAGAACCTGACTCCTGTGCTGTGTGTGGTGAGCTCTGGCCCTTGGAATGGGGGTAACTGATTCCTTCTTTATTTCACAGCTGTGAGATCACCTTTTTTGGGGGGAGGGGAGTTTGTGACCACATTTAAGGTCTGGCAGCCATAAGGGCAGCATCTCTACCTGGTGGTTATTTTCTTTATTGTGTGGGGTGAGTGTTTGTCTTTGAAATGGAATGAGTGGTCCCTTCTTTATTTCAGGGCTGTGAACTCTTTTTTTTGTTTTGTTTTGGGGGGCAGGGAGGGGGTCCTGGCCACGTTTAAGGGCTAGCAGCCACCTCTACCTGCAGAATGCCTTCCAGAGAGTGTGGGTGAGTACTGGCCCTCAGGAAGGGGTGAGTGATTTCTTCTTAATTTCAGGGCTGTGAGCTCTGCAATTTTTTGCATATCCTGAACTGGATTAGAGCAGTTATCTGTTATGTGTGTCAGGGCATGACAGTCAGCAGTATGCTAGGGTTGCATGTAAATTGGAGAAGTATGAAAAGGCAACTGCAAATTGCACTATTTGTTACTAGGAGTTGTAAGGAGCAAGATTATCTGTTTTGTACCTTCCTCAAGGCAGTCTAATTTTTCTATAGAGGAAGGTAGAGAAGGAGGTGGTTTCTTTCACTATTTCTGCTATTTTAATGTCCTTATCTGATTGAACTGTATCTCATTCTTTTCCTGTTCACAGTATGTTGTGCATTTCTGCATCACAAGGCTTTTAACTTTTTATAACTACCATAAACATAATTTAACAAGTTGTTTTTTCTTTGGTTTGGTAAGGCTAAAAACCAGTTCTACTAAGATTCTAGGCTTGTCCTACCTGAAACCCACAGGACACACGCAGCCCAGCTCAGCTCACACTTCCACCTGCTCACCCTGCCACATCATCTGCCTCCTGGAGCAGCCCAGCCTGGCCAAGGGGCACAGGGAGGGCGTAGTGCAGTGCAGACAAATAGCATGGCCCCATGCTTAATGCTTTGCAAGAAAATGGTGTCAGCTTTCAAAGATTACAATTTGAAAATATATGAATTTGGAAAGAGTCTAGAGGCCCAACAGGAGAATGATCCTGGGATGGAACAAAGTATTCTGACAGTTTTAAAGGCTGTAGATGCAAATGTATGTTCCTTTCATCTTATTTTATTTATTTTTAATTAGGGAGAAACCTTGCAAACTTATCTTGTTTTATAAGGATTTGTTTTGCAAGCAGGTGTTCCACTTGGGCTCTGTATCATGTGTTGGCCGCACGGATACAGCATGCAGGTGGAAAAAAATGCTGCAGACTCTGAAGAGAGCAAAAGCAGGAGGGAGGCTGCAGTAGAGGAGAGAGGAAAGATGCACTTTGAAGCAGGGAATGCCCTGCTGATATGTTTTGAGAGCACTGCAGGCAGACTCCTTCCCAGAATTTCATCCCTCTCTCAAGGTCAGTAAGTAATATTGTGCTTGCTTAGAGAGATTCTGGTTTAGCTTACTAGTGCTCCTATTGCACTTGCTTAGGGAGTTTCTGCTTGCCATCTTCTGGGGCTATCAAAAATGGATACCTGTGTGTGTGCATATGCCAAATAAAACTCATAACTCTGCGCTGCTCTGACTGTGTAGTTCACTCGCCTCTGCTCCTGAGACACCCCGTCTCTCCGATGCAAACATATCCTGAAACAATATTATAGGCAGAAACACATTGCATAATGTGCTGCACATCAAGAAATGCTTTGTAAGAACAAAACAGCAGAACTGGAAATAGCCTGTCACCTTAACAAATTATTTTGAACCAAGTTAAAACTCCAAGGGAATCCTTAATAAAGCTTGATAATGTGGCAGCAAATCTGATTGCAAAAAAATCAAAACCATTTTCTGATTGTGAGTTTGTCTCACAAGACTGTAGCCAGCTGAACTGAAGAAATATGAAAGTCTTTTGAAAAAAATGTGGAGAGTTAAACTGCTAATATCAATTCCTGTGCTTTGGCTGTGGGTGAAAATGTTCATGTTAAATACAATGGCTCAACTAATCATTTTTGTTAGAGGCATTCATAATGAATTTCAGTATCAGTGAAGAAATGGCTCCTTTGGTGGCACTGAAAAACAAAGAATTCTCCTGATTTATGTGAAGTAGAAAAAAACCAAAACAACATTAGAACAATTTTCTTTAACCCTTGTCAATATTTCTGGTACATCTACTGACAGTGCTCCAGTGACGGTTAAAAAAAGAAGTGAGACTTATAAAGATATAATATTCTTACGTGCTTAGCAGAGGTTTGCTGGATGTAGAGAAGTTTTCCTTGGTTTTCTTCGTCTTTTTCCAATTGACGTAATTTTCTCCTCCCTCAACCCCCACCTAACTGCGTTTTTCCTCTGCCATCACGGCAGGGAGAAGAGCGCCAGAAGCTGCGGCGCGGCTGCGCGTCGAGCCAGTCGTTGATGTTTCCGCGGTTTCCGGTGCCCCCTCGTGGCCAATAGCTGGAATTGCGGCCGTGTTTGTTTGGCGCCGCAGGCACCAGGGCGCATGCGCACAGGCACGCGGCGGAGGTGTTCCTCGCTCTGCGCAGCAAATCCGCCGAGCTTTGTTATGGTTAATCCTCGAGGCAACAGAGCGCATGCGCCAGGACACTCATAACTAGCATTCAAATCTTCAAAGCCTCGAGGTGCAGGCGAGCAGTCGATTCCTGGAGCCTGCCTCGGGAACAGACTATTGTGGCTCCCAGCGGCCCCTGCTCCCCTCGCACGCGTAATGAGGAGTCGAAAACAACGCACGCGTAGGTGAGTACTCGAAACTAATCATGCGAAATCACCTGCCGGGCCGGGGCTGTTCGCCGCTATGTTCGCTATTACCTGGAGGACTGATGACCATAGAGAGGCGGCGGATTAGCTGAGTAGAGGGGTTAGAACGGCACTTCCGCATTTTGTACGCGCATGCGTTGTGGTGCTTGCGGGACGCAGCGGCCGTTCCGCGCATTGGCCAGGAGGTGGCAGCAGAGACCGCGGAAAGAACTTTTCCGACGGGACTGAGGGAGCGGCGGCGCAGTGCCTGTCGATCCGGTGTGTGTGCTGACAGGACGGGAGAGGAGCACGAAGTTAGAAGTGGAGGGCTTGTGGGGGGAAAGACGAAGAAGAAAGAGAGAAACTACTCCAAACCCAGGAGAGCTGTGCCAAGTGCATATAAATAGCTTTTAAAAAAAAAAAAAAAAAAAAAAAAGAGTTTTTTTTCTTTTTTTCTTCTTTCTTTTTGCCAGCGTCTGTTGCATTGTTTCTAAATGTTCAAATACCAAAATGCAACTGCCCAGCAAATTTAATGATAATGGGATTAGAGCCCATAGGCAGAAAGTGCAGGGCCATATGAATGTTCACTCAGCCTCTGTCTTGTTTATACTTCCACGTATTTTTCTTCAAAAGCCTTTCTTTCCCTGCGGGTTTCATTTTTGGCTTTTTGTTCTTTTCATGCCATAAAATGGGAAGTTTTAGGTCCTAGCAAGTCTAAGCAGCCAGATCTAGCACAAAGCTGCAGTTTTGAGTTCTGTGTGAACCATGACAGTGTTCCTACAAAGATTAACAAAAACTGCAGTTCTCCCCCTAAGTTTACAGATGGAAAAAATTAATTCACCTGCCTAGAAAGAATTGATGTGTCACAGCTGCCACTGGCAAGATGGCCCGAGAGTTGTGTGGGTGCATCTGGCTGTGAGAGGAATGTCTCTGTGGAAGGACAGCTTGTTCCCCCCTCTGATGGGGGCAGCTTCTCAGCTGCCCTACCCTGGTCTTCCTGCAGCTGGACAGATAGCCCAGAAGGGCACGGGGTACGCAGACCCTCCCCGGCCAGCTGCAGCAGTCGCTCCTGCCAGCACTCCCTTTCCCCCCAACCATTCCCATTTTGCAGGCTGGAGCCCTGTGCGGCAGAGGAGGAGAGAGCTGCAGGCAGAAGGAAAACAGGATGCTGGGATTCCTCCAGCTCGCTGCCAGCTGTCTTCTGTGACATTTTGGGGGTGGGCAATGGACTGTGGGAGCACCCTCAAGGCTCTGGGCAGGAGGGAAGGAAGCAAAGATGCAGCTGCAGGCAGCGGGCTCTGAGCTGGAGCAGTGCGGCCGGGCACTGTACAGCTCCCAGTCTGGGCACACGGAGCAAATTTGTCCAGCTGAGGGCTGCAGGGCTGTCCTTATCAAGCACTCCCCCATCGCACAGGTCTGCAGCGACTGCACCAGTTGCTCGAGCTCTTCCCACTGCAGGAGCTCAGAACTGACAAGAACCCTGACCAAAGCAGGTAATGGCAACATATGCACACAGATACACACCTGATACAGAATCTGGCACTTGACAGTCCTCCCAGAGCTTCTTGCTACTTTTTAGGCTGCTCTACAGCTATTCTGTCCTTTTCCCCCTCATTCCCCTATGTCTTGCCCTTTCCTTCGCCCTGTGCCTTCTCCATTGCTTTTTCAGGCTTTCTCCTTTCTTTCCTCGCTTCCTTCCCTATGCCTTCCCCCTGTGATGACCCCATGTTCTGCTGCTGTTCTCAGCTGACGATCCTTAAACTGCACTTTTCAAAGACATGGGATCAGGCTACGTACTATCACTGACTTAAAAAAAAAAAATTAAAAACAAACAAGTGCAGTATTATGTATAGATAACGAACTCCTGCTTGAAAACCAATAGCATCTCCACATCCTGGAGTGTCACCATCACCCCCGGGTTGGGCTGGTGCTGCTCATCTGCCCTGCAGTGCTGCTCAAATGGCACCGGCACCTCCTGGCATGGCCTGCCACCTCCCTGTGTCACCTCTACGTGTCACCTCATCTCACCTCTGCAGTTCTGACCCCACACCTCCACCCCGTGTCCCCCCATGTCCTCACATGTCCATGTGTCCCCACACATCCCCTCATGTCTCAAGTCCCCCCACATCCCCTGCCCCAATTCAGTCTATGCTGATCTCACCATGGGATTGAGGACGGGGGCAGGGATGCCTGTGGGGTGCGTGGAGTCCTGGGACAAGTTGATGGCTGTGCACAGGGGGGTGATGGTGCCCTCGGCGCACGGCTGTGACAGGGGGGTGTGAGTCATTGCCCCCAAAATGGGGCTTGTGCCCCACGCATGTGGGCAAGTTGTATGGGGAGTGCTTTCTGGAGATGATCTGTCTTTTCTCCAAATCTGCAGCAACTTCAGCAATCCCGTGTCGTACCGCAGCAGAAATGGGGCACTGCCGTACGTCAGCGATCTCTGACTCAAGCACAGGGACTGCACGAAGGACACACGCTGCAGCCTCCCTGTTTCTATGGGGTTTGGGATTGATGTTTGAGCCAAAAGGCCTCATGGTGCCATACAGGCAGGTGCTGGGTTCACCCACTGAGGACGCCAAATCTTAAAATAATGTCACAGCGGTCTTTAATTGCTGTGCGAGGAGATGACGTGCATTTCTCCCTGGGGAGCTGTAAGCTGACCCCACAGTGTGGCAGACAGCACCAAAAAGGGATGCCATCCTGTACTTTCCTACCCTAGTAACTCCTGGTTCTGCTGGTACATCTCTTGTACCTGGAGCTGGCTCTCCATCTGGCTGAGATGTCATCTTTAACACTTCAAAACAAGCCTCAGGAGAAAAGATTTTGGTGATGTGACATGAAAATAGACAGCACAAATATAGAGCAGGATAACAGAAGATGTACACGCTGGGTGTTGAATATCATTTGGAAACCAAACCCCAGGTGAGAAGTCTTGTTTTATTTGGTTCATTTTTGCTACTCTCCCGGAGGATCAGGAGGTCAGTAGATGTAAACTAGAGATGCATCACAGGGATATTCAATCAAGGTGATGCAACACATATCTAATTGTTTTTTCATAATTACAATGACTACTAGATATTAACATGATAGTGACTCTCTTCCTAGCTTAATATATGTTAATGCTAAATTTGAAACTGGCATACTAATAAATAGGGCTTCTGAAAGAGGCGTGTTGGTAAAACCACGCTTTTGTCTACTTGTTTTTCATTGTAATATCAATATATTGAAACATTTGCATAGGGTCAAGTAATTGTGAGGGGATAAAACAGCACATGAGGTTATAATTACTATGTTAGGTAAAGCAGAGCATTATCAGTTTTTATTGTTGTTTTCTTTTTCTTTCCTTCCAGTTACTTGACAGTCCAGGAAATTTTTCACAGCTGAGCCATTGTGTTTTCTTCAGAAGTTAGAAACAAGATTGGCAGATTCATGTCCGTATTCACCCACGCAGCAAAGTACTGGAAGAACTGCATTATTTCATCCCACTCTTCAGTGAGTTTCTATTATTTACCATGTAAGAACAACTTCTTTGTAATGCCTCCTTTGTAGAAAAATGACGTGTTTATCTTCATTGCCAACCCTTGATTTCCAGTGCATGTTCAAAATAGTCGATGGGTGAAGGAATGCTGGCTGGTTTTACACTAAGAAAAAAGCCTCCACAAGTTCTCATTCAGTACAGTTAGTACACTTTTATTTTTGCTAGATGGTCTGCTCGTTTCTCCAGTCTTCTTATGTAACATGAGGGAACATTTTGTTGTTTGAATTTCTATAACTGCCTATTTTCTGTGTTCAGGAGAGTAGATTCCCTTACATTCAGAGTAATAACGCATAAAAACAATCTTCTGTGTTGGCTGTTTGAAAGAAAGCTGTTTATTCATTAGAAATGTTAGAAACATAATAATCCCATTTGGTAGTTAGTTTTTCATCAGACTATTAAGTTCCAAGTAGAAAATAGCACTTAAGTTCAATTGCATGTTGTAAGCAAGTTTTAATGACATACACCTTTTTAAATATCCCTCAGTAATGCATGCTATTATTGTCCTCAGGACCACTGGATCACCTTGTCTTAATGGTTCAAAGCATGTGAAAAATCTGTATCTGGAAGAATATGACAACTGAGATTTTTTATTGGTACACGATAGCACAATAAATTCTGTCACCTGTAATTAACTTGATGCCATAGTTCACTGCTGCAGATCTTAATGTAAAGATTACTGGGGCAATGCTTTCAGGGCCAAAACTTCAGCCAGACTGTTGTGTGTGTGAAGGAAAGCACTGTAAATCTCTGAATTCTGTATGGATGGGGCCTTATAAATATTTCTATAATTAGTCAAAGCACAGTAATTTTTTTTTTCCTACAGGTTAAATACTGCTGATTAGCTGCTTACTTTTTAGACAGTTCTCTGTCCTTAGTATTCACACAAGTCTTTTTCTGACCTGCTGTAAGCCCGTTCTGTAACCAGATAAGGAGTCTAATGTTAGAGCTGGAGATAGTGTAACACTGTTACTAGTTGATACTTGCTATTTCATTGCATTCTAGGATAATGTAATATACAAAAGAACTGCCTCCTAGAAGAGAATGACTTATTAATTACAATACAGTAGTGATCTTGTTTTTGGTGTTACTATTGCATATGTATATCTGCCTTTGCACTGTTAGTTCTAGAACGTACTGTCTACAGGTATTGCTGACGATTTAAAAAAAAAAATTACAATTCTTATTTATTCTTGGAAATATATTTCTTTGCTTGCTATGAATCAGTTAATACTGAGCCATGATATTTTGCTGTGCTAGTGCACCTTATTGAATGTATCAAAGTACATAAGACATATTGATATTGTAACAATTAAACACAGAAACAAAGACTGTGTCTAAAAAACAATTCCAAAGTTTTAGGAAGGAAGGATTATTATAGAATTCTGAGACTGCTTGATACAAGAAGAAAGTGGTTTAGGCAGATTCACATCATTTGACTTAACACACTCATTCTATATAAAAGAATTTAATCTCAAAAACTGGCAAGCAGAATTTTTAACAGGAACACTACTACGCAAATCAAAGAGCAATTCTGTTATCATGCTATGTACTAACTGCCAGATGCTTGCTTTACAAAATATGCATTAATTTATCAAATTACCCCACAAAATAAACAAAACTGAAGAAAACCTATGCATTTAAAATGGTTAGGATTTGACAAAGAAAAAATATAAAATGTTCAAAAGTAGCGAATCCAATTTTTGTTTCTTCAGAAACAAGCTCATTTCAGGGAAAAGCTATTAGATACTGCTATGTAAAGAAAATACAATTTATAATGTTCAGTGTTACAAATAAGAACTAATTTTGAAAAGCTAATTAGTGGATTTCATGATGGCATAACTACATCAGCGGATGAGGAAAATGCTTGATGTCATCTATCTTAATGTCAGTAGAGACTTGGACATAGTTCCCATCATATCCTTCTTTTCAAATTCAAAATGTGTGGATTTGAAAGGTGGACTGATGAACAAAGTTTAGTCTAGTCATACCTTGAGAGTGGTGGTCATTGGCTCAATGTCTGGATAGAGAAAGTAACAAGCGGTGCTCCTCAGGGGTCAGTACTGGGACCAATGCTCTTTAATATCTTCAGCAGTGACATTGACAGTGGGATCAAGTACATTCTCATCAAGTTTGTGGATGACAACAAGCTATGTGATAAGGTCAAGATGACTGAGGAATGGGATGCCACTCAGAGAGACTTAGACAGCCTTTGTCAGTGGGACAAGGAGAAGCTCATGAGGTTCAAAAAATCCAAGTGCAAGGTACTGCACATGGGTAATGGCAGCCAACCCCTTGTATCAGTACAAGTTGAAGGATGTAAGGACAGAGAACAGCCCTGCCACAGTGGGCATAGGGATACTAGTCAATAGCAAGTGGGGGGGTTGGACTCGATGATCTCTGGAGGTCCCTTCCAACCCCTACAATTCTGTGATTCTGTGATTCTGTGACATGAACTAGCAGTGTGTACCCTCACAGCCCAGAAAGCCACTCCTGTGCTGGACTGCACCAAAAGAATGGTGGTCAGCAGGTCAAGGTAGATGGTCCTGCCCCTCTGCTCTGCATTGGTGAGACCACATCTGGAGTACTCCATCCTGACGTGGAGTTCTGGAGTACAGGAGAGGCATGGATCTGTTAGAGCATGAGCAGAAATGGAATACCTCCCCTATGAGGACAGGCTGAAAGAGCTGGGACTGTTCAGCCTAGAAAAGAGAAGGCTCTGGGGAGATGTGATAGTAGCCTTTCAGTATCTGAAGGAGGGCTATAAGGAGAAGAGGACAGACTCTTCAGCAAGGTCTGTTGCGATAGGACAAATGTAAATGGTTTTAAAATATAAAAGGATAAATTCACATTAGATACAAAGAAGTTTTTTTTTACTATGAAGGTGGTGAAGCACTGAAAGAAATCACCCAGAAAGGTGGTGGATGGATCACCTGTCCTTGGAGACATTCAAGATCAGGCTGGCCCAGGCTCTGAGCAGCTTGTTCATATTCATTTCAAGAGAGTTGGATTAGATGACTTTCTAACTCAGAAGATTCTGTAATTTTATGATAATACTAAACGCAAGTAATATAAGTTACCCAGCAAAGATATTTATTTCTTGCATTTAATTTTGGTATGAACCAGTTAACACTGAGCTAAGCGAAGATCACTGAAATATTTCTAGAGTTTAGGCACTTTGAAACATTGGTCACAGTTCTTAAAGTATAAATTTAAGGATCTATATCTATACTTAGAATCAGAGATCAATGTTTGGGTGTTTTATTTCTGATAATATCTTCCTCTCTCCAGTTGCCATACACTTTCTCTCTCTAAAAAAAAAAAAAAAAAAGTGTTTATATATTATTTATAAACATACAGAGATGTTTTCATCTTTGCAGACACTCATAGGTAGCTGATTCCAAGGTACACATGTCCTTAACCAAAGTTAAAACAGGATCACGACTTTCTCTCTGTTCTATTAACAGCAATTCTGTAATAGTTTTATAGCACCTACCTGAATCAGTATATCAGTATCACACATTCCGCTTGGCTAACGAGCTTCTTTTTGCAGAAACTTAATCCAAAAACAATAAAAGTTGAAAGAAATTCCCTGTTTCACTTCAGCAGACACTGAAATATATATATATATAAAAAATTCTCCTTCTTGATATTTTGCCTACTTTTTTGTAACTAAGTTTTTTGACTCCATAGCTGTATCATAACACTACAAAAATAATATCCACTGTACTGTTTGCACACTGTTTTGAAATGTAGTATTTATGATAAATGAATTTTACATGGAACAATTCTATTAAGCATGTTAAAATAACTGAAATTTGATTTGTCCCAAGAAAACATATGTAACTAAGCTTCTGCTTGGCTTTAAGATGCACATACATTATTTCTTCGACTTGGAAACACAAGCATGTGTGATACTTTCCTGAGTATTGAGTTATTTCAGCTTTCTGGGAGCTGTATACTAATGCTGTGTCGTCAGAAAACTTCTGAAATGAGGGTTTGATACTCCGACATCAGTAAACAGCATAGTGCTGCTGATCTGTAACCTCTCAGCAGCAAAATAGAGAAATCCGTGTAATGGATTCAGTGTCTGTGAGGAGAAGCAACACCTTTTAATACACTACCTCAGAGAGCTGGCAGAAAAAATAGACAAATTTTGTTTTACCTGCTTCATCAAAGTACATACAATGGAATTTGTTTGAGAAGAATGAACTCCTTTATATTGCAGATGGAAGGACAGAACCTGCCTGTACAAATCTATCCTACGCTGACCTAAGCAGAAGCATTAGAGGTCATATAAATGTTCCTTGTCTTAGTTACTGAATCTGGTTTCTGTAATCTGAAGACACAATGAAGGTAAGGCTGCTTACACACTCTTTTCAGTTGTTTTTCAGGACAATAGATTTAATGACATAAAAATGAATTAACTGACTCTCCTCTCCTTACACTCTATTAATTGAAGATACTTGAAGTTGAACTGGAAAAGCAGTACATAAAAGATTTATTGTTCCCGATGGAATCTTAGTCCTGCTGCCTTTTATATCCATTCTGATATCACTGAATCAACCTGAAGTCCTATGGATAAAAGAAGGAATTATTTTAGATTTTCCCGAGGCTCAGCCTTCATCACAATATAAGATATACAGTTGTATCACCACCATCCCTGCAACTCTCTTCCTACTCTCAAGTTTACTGGATTTCTTGTTACTTACTGATTTCCAGCTTCCAAGGTCTGCGTAAGATACCTTTCTGGTTAAGCTCCTGTACTGATCTCTCTCTATTATTATTATTATTATTTATTTTTTTCTTCTGTAAATTAATGCTAGTTAGTGATTGCTACTTGGGTCACTATCATCTTCTGCTCTCTCATCCCAAGTGTATTACAAGAATGAAAAACTATTTATGGTTGAACTGTACTAACTCTGTCTTCCTTTACTGCACTTACTTGAAGTGCTTTAAAAGGACTCAATGGAGGACAGGGAAGTATTTTCAAATTATAGCTGTGAGTGATGACCAGAGAATAAGAAACCTCCGACCTGAAATTAGAGGAGCTGTTGACACTGGCTACAATTCTGAAAAAGCCAAAGAAGAAACAATAATATTATGTCATTCACTGGGGGAAAAAAAAAAAAAAATCCACTGTTAGATTTTTAGCAAATAAACAAGTATATATGATTACAGAGAGGGAAAAAAAGGATTTTTGGAACTGTGTCTAAGTTTGAATAAAATGCTTTTATGCGTTCACAGAATTATTTTAAAGGATGATTGTTGATCTGCTGAAGCCTTCTTGATTCTACATTTTTCTCGGTTTGAATTATAAAACCTGTAATTGAATATTCTGAATCTAGAAGAGAAAATCTAGAAGGCTATTCTGATGTTTTCTAACCATCTGTTGAAGAACGTCATGAGCACTTGTTTATCTGCACTTCTGTAAGTTCTCAACATTGATTGTATTTTATTTTCTGTAGCTAATTACTCTTCAGAATGATATGTTTATACTACTGGAAAACTTCTATTTTAGAGTGGAATTATGCATACAGTATTCATATGGATCTGATCAGAACTGAATAATGCAGATATTTTTGTAAGTACATCTTTTGAAAGGAAAAAAGTGTCATAATATATTTAAAAACC